ATGTCACTGATGGATAATGTCACTGGTTGATAATGTGTGTGATTAGTGCATAATGTCACTGGTTGATAATGTGTGTGATTGGTGCATAATGTCAATGATGGATAACGTCACTGATTGATAATGTGTGATTGGTGCATAATGTCACTGATTGATAATGCGCGATTGGTGCATAATGTCACTGGTTGGAAGCGTGTGGAGGATAGATAATGGCAAAGAAGGTGGCTGGATAATGTTAGTGATCTGGCGGATAATGTCACTGGTTGATAATGTGTGGATTATACATAATGTCAATGATGGATAATACCACTGGTTGATAATGTGTGTGATTGGTGCATAACGTCACTGATGGATAATGTCACTGGTTGATAGTATACGTGATTGGTGCATAATGTCACCGATTGATAAATGCGTGATTGGTGCATAACGTCAAGGATGGATAATGTGTGTGATTGGTGCATAAACGTCAAGGGTGGATAATGTCACTGGCCGATAGTATGTGCGGATTGGTGCATAATGTCACTGATTGATAATGTGTGATTAGCACAACGCATCAGGATGGATAATGTCACTGGTTGATAGATGTGATTGGTGCATAATGCCAAGGATGGATAATGTGTGTGATTGGCATAATGTCAAGGATGGATAATGGCACTGGTTGATAGAATGTGTGATCTGCATAATGTCACTGATTGATAATGTGCTGGATTGGTGCATAATGTCAACGATGGATAATGTCACTGGTCATGATAGTATGCGTGATTGGTGCATAATGTCACTGATTGATAATGTGTGTGATTGGCGCATAATGTCAAGGATGGATAATGTCAGTGGTTGATAATGTGTGTGATTGGCATAATGTCACCGGTTGGAAGCGCGTGTGGAGGATAGATAATGGCAAAGAAGGATAATACCGAAGTGGTTGATAATGTTAGTGATCTATGGATAATGTCACTGGTTGATAATGTGTGTGATTGGTGCATAATGTCAATGATGGATAATGCCACTGGTTGATAATGTGTGTGATTGGTGCATAATGTCACTGATGGATAATGTCACTGGTTGATAGTATGTGTGATTGGTGCATAATGTCACTGATTGATAATGTGTGATTGGTGCATAATGTCAAGGATGGATAATGTCAGTGGTTGATAATGTGTGTGATTGGTGCATAATGTCACTGATTGATAATGTGTGTGATTGGTGCATAATGTCAAGGATGGATAATGGCAATGGTTGATATTGTGTGTGATTGGTGCATAATGTCACTGATGGATAATGTCACTGGTTGATAATGTTTGTGATTGGTGCATAATGTCACTGATTGATAATGCGTGCGATTGGTGAATAATGTCACTGGTTGGAAGTTCGTGTGGAGGATAGATAATGGCAAAGAAGGATAATGAAAGTGGTTGATAATGTTAGTGATCTATGGATAATGTCACTGGTTGATAATGTGTGTGATTGGTGCATAATGTCACTGATGGATAATGTCACTGGTTGATAGTATGTGTGATTGGTGCATAATGTCACTGATTGATAATGTGTGTGATTGGTGCATAATGTCAAGGATGGATAATGTCAGTGGTTGATAATGTGTGTGATTGGTGCATAATGTCACTGATTGATAATGTGTGTGATTGGTGCATAATGTCAAGGATGGATAATGGCAATGGTTGATATTATGTGTGATTGGTGCATAATGTCACTGATGGATAATGTCACTGGTTGATAATGTTTGTGATTGGTGCATAATGTCACTGATTGATAATGCGTGCGATTGGTGAATAATGTCACTGGTTGGAAGTTCGTGTGGAGGATAGATAATGGCAAAAAGGGATAATGAAAGTGGTTGATAATGTTAGTGATCTATGGATAATGTCACTGGTTGATAATGTGTGTGATTGGTGCATAATGTCAATGATGGATAATGTCACTGGTTGATAATGTGTGTGATTAGTGCATAATGTCACTGGTTGATAATGTGTGTGATTGGTGCATAATGTCAATGATGGATAATGTCACTGATTGATAATGTGTGTGATTGGTGCATAATGTCACTGATTGATAATGCGTGCGATTGGTGCATAATGTCACTGGTTGGAAGTGCGTGTGGAGGATAGATAATGGCAAAGAAGGATAATGAAAGTGGTTGATAATGTTAGTGATCTATGGATAATGTCACTGGTTGATAATGTGTGTGATTGGTGCATAATGTCAATGATGGATAATGTCACTGGTTGATAATATCTGTGATGAGTGCATAATGTCACTGGTTGATAATGTGTGTGATTGGTGCATAATGTCACTGGTTGATAATATGTGTAATTAGTGCATTAAGTCACTAGTTGATAATGTGTGTGATTGGAGGATAATGTCACTGGATTACAATGTGTTGGATTGGTGCATAATGTCACTGGATGGTAATGTGTGTGATTGGTGCATAATATCACTGGTTGATAATGTGTGTGATTGGTGCATAATATCATTAGTTGATAATGTGTGTGATTGGTGCATACTGTCACTGGATGATAAAATGTGTAATTGGTGCATAAAGTCACTATTTGATAATGTGCGTGATTGGTGTATAATGTCTCTGGTTGGTAATGTGTGTGATTGGTGCATAATGTCACTGGTTGGAAGTGTGTGTGGAGGATAGATAATATCAAAGAAGAATAATGGAAGTGGTTGATAATGTTAGTAATCTATGGATAATGGCACTTGTTGATAATGTGTGTCATTGGTGCATAACATCCCTGGTTGATAATGTGTGAGATTGGTGCATTAAGTCACTGGTTGATAATGTGTGTGATTGGTGTTTAGTATGACTGGTTTATAATGTGTGTGATTGGTGAATAATGTCAATGGTTTATATTGTGTGTGATTGGAGGATAATGTCACTGGTTGATAATGTGTGCAGAGGATGCATAATATCACTGGTTGATAATGTGTGATTGGTGCATAATGTCACTGGTTGGTAATGTGTGTGATTTTGCATAATGTCACTGGTTGATAATGTGTGTGATTGGTGGCTAGTATGACTGGTTTATAATGTGTGTGATTGGTGCATAATATTACTGGTTTAGAAAGTGGGTTTTTTGGCATAAAGTCACTGGTTGATAATGTGTGTGATTAGTGCATAATGTCAAGGATGGATAATGGCACTGGTTGATAGTATGTGTGACTGGTGCATAATGTCACTGATTGATAATGTGTTTGATTGGTGCATAATGTCAAGGATGGATAATGTCACTGGTTGATATTATGTGTGATTAGTGCATAATGTCACTGATTGATAATGTGTGTGACTGGTGCTAAATGTCAATGATGGGTAATGTCACTGGTTGATAATATGTGTGATGAGTGCATAATGTCACTGATTGGTAATGTTAGTGATTGGTGGATAATGTCACTGGTTGATAATGTGTGTGATTGGTGCATAATGTCACTGGTTGATAATATGTGTAATTAGTGCATTAAGTCACTAGTTGATAGCGTGTGATTGGAGGATAATGTCACTGGATTATGATGTGTTGGATTTTTGCATAATGTCACTGGTTGGTAATGTGTGTGATTGATGCATAATATCACTGGTTGATAATGTTTGTGATTGGTGCATAATATCATTGGTTGGTAATGTGTGTGATTGATGCATAATATCACTGGTTGATAATGTTTGTGATTGGTGCATAATATCATTGGTTGATAATGTGTGGTATTGGTGCATAATGTCACTGGTTGATAATGTTTGTGATTGGTGCATAATATCTTTGGTTGGTAATGTGTGTGATTGATGCATAATATCACTGGTTGATAATGTTTGTGATTGGTGCATAATATCATTGGTTGATAATGTGTGGTATTGGTGCATTATGTCACTGATTGATAATGTTTGTGATTGGTGCATAATATCTTTGGTTGGTAATGTGTGTGATTGATGCATAATATCACTGGTTGATAATGTTTGTGATTGGTGCATAATATCATCGGTTGATAATGTGTGGTATTGGTGCATAATGTCACTGGTTGATAATATGTGTAATTGGTGCATAAAGTCACTATTTGATAATGTGTGTGATTGGTGCATAATGTCACTTGTTGGAAGTGTGTGTGGAGGATAGATAATAGCAAAGAAGCATAATGGAAGTGGTTAATAATGTTAGTAATCTATGGGTAATTGCACTGGCTGATAATGTGTGTGATTGGTGCATAACATCCCTGGTTGATAATGTGTGTGATTGGTGTATAATGTCACTGGTTGTTAATGTGTGTGATTGTTGCATAATGTCACTGGTTTATAATGAGTGTGATTTGGGCATAATGTCTCTGGTTGATACTGTGTGTGATTGGTGAATAATGTCAGTGGTTTATATTGTGTGTGATTGGAGGATAATGTCACTGGTTGATAATGTGTGTGGAGGATGCATAATATCACTGGTTGATAATGTGTGAGATTTGTGCATAATGTCACTGGTTGGTAATGTGTGTGATTTTGCATAATGTCACTGGTTGATAATGTGTGTGATTGGTGTCTAGTATGACTGGTTTATAATGTGTGTGATTGGTGAATAATGTCAATGGTTTATATTGTGTGTGATTGGAGGATAATGTCACTGGTTGATAATATGTGTGTAGGATGCATAATACCATTGGTTGATAATGTGTGATTTGTGCATAATGTCACTGGTTGGTAATGTGTGTGATTGGTGGCTAGTATGAATGGTTTATAATGTGTGTGATTGGTTCATAATATGACTGGTTTATAATGTGTGTTATTTGTGCATAAAGTCACTATTTGATAATGTGTGTGATTGGTGCATAATGTGAAGGATGGATAATGTCACTGGTTGATAATATGTGTGATTAGTGCATAATGTCAAAGATGAATAATGTCACTGGTTGCATGTGAAAGTGAGAAATTGAGTTAGATATTTTGTCTGTAGCCTGTAAACTGACAAGATCTGTTTTCTTCATTTAAAGAGTCCCTAAGTATCAACCAGAACTACATTGGCCGTTTTACCCTCCTAACTCCAGGTGATGTTGGTTTTAGTCTCACCAACTTGAAGAGGGCTGACCTAGGAATCTACAGATGTATCATCACAGTGGACAGCGGAACAGGAATAACACTGCAAGGAGGTTTAGAAGAGAGACGTACTGGTAATGGTTGATGTCGTAGTGAGAGCAGTTGACATTCATGTAAATATAAACATACTTTATGCCTGGATATTTCATCATGCAGATTGAACTATGAAGTACTATGAAGAAATAGTAGTTAATGAATTTCCAGCACAATAAGTAATATAATATATATAATAATAAGTAATATAACTATATATATATCAAGACATGCAGTTATGCAGCTATGATTATGATGGAATTGGCATTACTTTATCCTTTTCGAGTGCAAAGGGACATATGTATGTTTACAGACTATTTGACTATTTGCAGATATACAAAAAAGATGGAGGTAAGGTTCTGAGTGAGTTAGTGACTGAGTGAGTGAGTGAGTGAGTGAGTGATTAACCACTAGGTTATAACGCTTTAACCACTATGCTACCCCAGCGCCCCGAGTGAGACTGAAGCTCGGACGGAGGAACATACACGAGGAGCTAGATGAGTGACGGGCAGTTCCTACAGTGAGGATAACCGTAATAGATATGAACGTTTGGTTATAATGAACAGGATTCATTTGCAGATAGATGGGAAAAAGAGGAGGCGTGCAGTGATGGAGCTGCCGTCTTTAAGTGGACTCGGACTTAGGAGGAGAACACGTACAGTGGCAGTTCAATGAAACAACGATTGCCAATACAACCAGAGAAGGAATCAGTAGGGTCGGTGTCATGGCAGCAATCCTTCTGACTGACCTACTTGTCACATGGAATCGGCAAGTGTTTGTGTAAATGCAAGAGTTCTTTACATACATTTCAATGTATGAACTGTTTAAAATGAAATTGTTAGCTATGTTGCCACAATTGGGTTTAATTACTTTATCCATGGCGGTTCAATAATTAAAACACTTTGTTATTAATCTGAGGTTTAATTCCATCACCTCAACTCCTCAACGCAACTACATGTCCAGTCCTCAGTAAAAGTCAACGTATCATTAACTGCAGTTCCAAAAGTCTCCGTACAATAAGCCCTGTTGGTGCGAGTATCAGTTTTGCGTTCTTGCATCCACAGTTTGCGTTGGTCATTGTCTTCATGTAATATCCCCTCTGTTGTTTCTACAGGATTCACTGCGTATCACAGCCGAGTACGAGCCTCGCTTTCATCTGGTACAGGCAGGTGATGTTGGGTTCCGGCTGGAGAAGGTCAGCGCCGCGGACGCCGGAACATACGCTTGTGTCATCACATTTCCAAGCGGAAAATGTAACATTATATGGAATTTGGAAGTGGAAGGTAACTCTTGCATGACGAATGTTGTGTTTCTTATTGTCTGAGGCCTTTAATGACTGACTGACTGAGTATGATTTTACTCCGCTTTTAGCAATATATTTTAGCAATATCATGGCGGGGGACACAAAAAATGGGCTTCACATATTGTGCCCATGTGGGGAATCGAACCCGGGCCTTAAGCACGACGAGCGAACGTTTGTAACTATCAGGCTACTCCACCGCCCCTCTAAGGGCCTTAAGTCGACAGGCACCCAACACATAAACGATGTATTATATAGTTTTGGTAAACATTGGACACTTGAACAATGATCAGAAATCGCTGAGATTATGCTGCTACATTATGATATCAAACCATTTTACAGAGATACAAAGTGGCAACATGGACATTGTTGTCATCAACTAGGAGATGCTATGCTGTGGGGAGGAGTGGAAGTCGGACTTCAGTTGGGTAATATAGACGAAGAAGAACATTATTTAAGTGTCACCTTTTTGCAATTAAAGAGCATTTTATACTATACGATATATAACATAATTATGGAAAGTAAAGTCCAGCCTTACGAGACACAAATCTATAACAAATAACAAATAGTGTATTATGAACACTGTCGGGGTAACAAAACATACCAGTATGCGAAATACACGTGGTATTTTCGGCCTAAATCAAATTACATGTTTTTACGTATCCTTGCCACCCAATGCGTTTTGCTGGTACCTGCAAACTGACAAGAAAATAGAGATAATACAATTAGAGGAAATAATCTAATAATCTAATGGCTGTATTTCATGTGAATGTTACTAAACATTGAGAGACGTTTATTATCATCTGGTGCAACTGTGACACTGTATTATTATATACCCACTATTTCACCTTTCACTTATGTTTCTACCATGCAATAACCGTGCCATGTATACTGGAAACGGCCATGCATGTTTCACGACGTGTGTCAGTTGTCATCTATATATAGTAAAACTAGTTTAACTCCAGCAACATCGACTGCACCTCTTGTACATGTAGCTTCTCTGCTCGTCCACTGTATTGGGATTACAACTAAAGGGAGGTAACCCTCTTTCTCTCGTGCGATACAGTTAAGTCACATACTGTCAATTAAAATGCATTTGGATTTTACAAGGAAAGAAAACAGGTAGATTTGTGACGTTTACCAAACTCTCATAGCAGATGGCGTCTGTTTCATGCCAGATATACCTCAGGTGGACTTTGCAGTACGTATTTCTATGATTGTGGAGGTCACTCAGTATGAACGTCAACCAATTGTATACAGACACTGAGGTGTGATTCACATTGTTTCCCATCTTGGAGTCTTTCATGGACATATTTCATTCAATATGAAGCCTTCAGCAAAAAGTTAACTCAAAGTATGCACAGGGCACAGTTTACATAATTAACTGTTTCTTATTATCTGTAATGTGTCTACCTGATGCAGTGTCTAATATAGACAAACCATGCATATCATGTTTAACATGTTTAACATCCTAAACCTGTACTGGCATAAGATATGAAACATACATGTGTATAAAGGTGTTGGTAAAACTCCACCATGTCAGGTCAAGCAGTTTCAACAGCTATTTCTATACTGAGAGAAAGAAATAAAGGATCACAGGAAAATGCAAGCGTTCCTATATTTTTCCAGTTTTCCTCACCACAGAGCTAATCAAACCTGGTGATGAAAACTGGAAAATATTAAAGGAACGCTTGAATTTCCATGTGATCCTTTATTTCTTTCTCTCAGTATATTTCAGCTATTGTTTACAACTGTAGCATTTTGTAGAATCATTTATAGAGCAGCGTCATGATTGTTTCAAGCTATCAGAAATTCTTCCAACAAATACATGAGATTGAAGTAAATGAATAACATAAGTTAAAACCTAACTAATTGGTAAATTATACTTGTTTATGTCAGTTCTTTTCGCTTGGAACACTTTCACGTGACTACATCGCAGACGGAGACCATGACCATCTCTACCGTCCCATACTGGTTGAATGTCCTCGAATCTGTTGTCCTTATCTACCTACCATTACCCTTGTCCCTTGCATGTCTGAATGCACAGAGACGGTCAGTTATACACGGTATGTAACGAGGTGGAACCCGCTGACAGCTCTGAGGGCTTTCTTGAAGTCAACACTGAAGATCTGAAGCTCAAGTTGTATGCTACAGTAGTTTACTATGCTGAGGCGAGGTGAGGTGAAATTGGGTTTATCGTCGTGCTTGAGAATATTTCGCTCATATGACGACGTGCATGCGTGTGTATGTGTAGGTGCGGCTGCTTGTACTAGCCCAGACTTAAGCTGGTTTTATAGTGCTAGCCCAGGGAGATACCATGCCGCAGTGAAGCATGAATACCCAACTCAGACACATTATACTGACTTCGAGCCGACCAGTCCTTGTTGTACCCATTAATGCCGAGCGCCAGGCTGGGACCAACAATTACCATATTTTAACGTCTTTTGGTATGACGCGGTTAGGGATCGAACCCGCGACCTTCAACTCTCTGGGCGGACGCTCTAACCACTGCACCACGGAGGCGGTTTACTATGCTGAGTTTACTATACTATGTAATGTTCTAAGGCAACACTGGGCAAGGAAAGACCAATATGAGCCATAGATGTTGACTTGGTTGGTTGGTTGGTTTTATAGTTTTAGGGCGACGTGGGCCAATAAGAGGCCTATTTGCGCCCAACACATTGATGAGTAATAAAACATCATAGGTAATTTCATCGCAAAAAAGGAATCTTTAAGTTAACATAAAAGAACCGACAAACACTATTAATATTCATTTGGATAGATGTATACATATATCGAATAAGCTCTGCTTTGTGTTACGGGTTAAATACCATAAGTAATCACTTCCATTCCTGAAACATGAAATACGTATTCATGAACAAAGCAGTAGGTTAAGATGACAGAGCGTTAAAATGATTTAAAATCACAGAACTAAATCTGTCTAAGCCACTTGAGAGCCTGTGTAGATTACATAATATGTTCCAGATGACGAGTAGGTGTTGAGTTACTTGTGGATGAGTTGTCTCCCCGTAACAAACTTAATCAGAGGCGAATCAACCTGAAACTCTTTTACTATGTATTTCTAAAGACGTTTGAAAGTGCTATGGTAATTGCGAGGAAAACATTATCATTCTTGTTGTCAGAGTTTCGTGACTCCGTTTTAGTTATAACGAAATAGTTAAACTGATTAAAGAACCCATAACAATGATATCAGGACTCCCTCTCGCTTCATCCATGCGTGTGGTGTCACCACTCAGCCGGAAATATTTCGGTGAGGCTAAGTGCTCATGTACTCAGACACCTGACGAGAGAAGCACAATATAACCCGTACCATTGACACCGAAGTCTAAAGGGAAGGTGAACATTTAATTAGAAATTTGAATTACAATGCAGTTAATGCTATTCTAAATAGTGTAGAGAGTGGAGCACTTTCCCCGCTATAACGTCACTGATTGTGTTTTGCTTATTGTAGAGAGTGGAGCACTTTCCCCGCTATAACGTCACTGATTGTGTTTTGCTTATTGTAGAGAGTGGAGCACTTTCCCCGCTATAACGTCACTGATTGTGTTTTGCTTATTGCGATTGCTATAAGGTTATTTATATTTGGTCAAATATGGTCAATTAAATTTAAAAGACAAATGAAAGTCATTTTAAAAACGTGGCACAAAGCTCGAGTGTTCACATTTCTGATGACGGATTCACCTGTACAATTACCTTGATGCTTCACCTGCCAATGCGTTAACATATGTGATGTTTGTAATCAAATATCTTTAAGAGTTTGTATGTCAGCTTTATAGTAGTGCTACTCTGATCAATCAATTTGCCACAGCACTATACTGTAACAAAATAATGACATGACTATAGGACAGGTTAATCCCCCCCCCCCTCCCCCTACGGCTCTCGGATTACGAAACTGACAAAATCCAACATACTGTTACAAGTGAAGTTCTGCTTCAGCGGTTACACGCACACGCACACACGCACACGCACACACACATATACGTATACACACATATATCATATGACGGACGCTGTCATAAAACATGCTCTTCATCTTCAATAAATCCATTGAAGGTAAAACAAACTCTATCCTCAACATTTACATTGTATCTCTGTCCGGTTCTATTCTTAAAGGGCGGTGGGGTAGCCTAGTGGTTAAAGCGTTGGCTCGTCACGCCGAAGACCCGGGTTCAAATCCCATCATGGGTACAATGTGTGAAGCCCATTTCTGGTGTCCCCCGCCGTGATGTTGCTGGAATATTGCTAAAAGCGGCGTAAAACCAAACTCAGTCAGTCAGTCTATTCTTAAAGGTGCAATAGCACATCTAAATTTTGCAAAGGCCGGACGATAACTCCAGGGTATGAAAGTGCTGACACAACTTTTACAACAACACCACTTTTTAGAAGATCTGTAGGTACGGGGGTGACTTCTACTATTAATATGATTATCTTTCCACAAACGTTCTTGCTAATGTAAAGAAATGTTACACTTTCTCAGTAAAGTACAGATTCTAGTACTTTTGTTGGGTTGAGTCACATCCGGGATTCGAACCCAGACCCTCAATGGTCAGGCATCTATTCGCCAGCACACAAAGTCAACCGCCTGACCAACAGAAATGGAAGTCGGACAACTGGTTGTCTTCACCACGGACTTTGCGTACCCATCTGATGAGTGTAGATTGGTACGGCTCCCATTTTCATTGGCATCATTGTGGGTCCAGAAATGCCAATTCTTCATACTTCTAGCACAATATTCAGTTTGGACGACTTCCAGCTTCTGTAATTAATCATGCAAGAATTACAGAGAAAATCAATAATTTTAATTTTGATGTAAGTTTAGACATGGCCGATGGGCCTTTATTGCAGCATCAGTGTAGCTACAGACTACTTTTGGACTGCAACTACCACAGCGCTCCAAGCGGGCAATGGGATGTATTTCCAGCAGTGCTCCTCATTGTCCCCATTGTGTCCTGTAAATAACAATTATCAAACAGTTCTTTCAAACTATGTACATTTGCAAAATGATATTCATCAGTCATTCAAAACTCACTCTGTGGCAAAAACAACTGTTCAATCTGAACACATGCGCTAATACTGTGAGCGAACAGTGTGCTTAACCGTGAGAGTTCAATGGGAGTTACCACAAGTTCGAGCTCTCTTGAGCCTTGAGCATACACTAGTGTGTGGAAACGGCGCCATACAAATGGACATTATTATTATTATTAAGAGCACTATTTTAAATTCTTCTACTAACAATGATACTTCAGGTGTATTGGCTTTGTGTTACCTTGCTGCTGGTCACAATGGACAGAACAGATGGAATCAGTGACATGACTCTATTTAGAAAATGTACACAAGAAGAAACATGTGACGCACCTCTGGCGGAATGTGCACCATGCGGGTGTTTACAGAGCTTCACCAAGTGTCTGCAGCTTGCTAGTTGTAGCTATGTAAGATTCAATCCCACGGCGCTTATTGGGAGGATGTGCCTCACATCAAATAATGGGTCATCTGTTAAACCAAAGGATTCAGACAGTGAGGAAGATTGGCATTGTCAGAGTAAAGTAAGTTCTGTAAGCACATGTTTTTCACAATTTTAACTGAATCAGTATTATAGACCTATATTTAAAGCCCAGGGCCCTGTTTCACAAAGCTCTCGTAAGCCTAAGATGTCGTAACCTTTCTCGTAGCATTCGTATCTGCTATACTGTAAGACGGACTTACGATAGTCGTATCGCTACGATAGCTTGTGAAACGCAGCCCTGGTCTTTTCTCAATGGGGTCCTCTTGTCTGAGATGCCATTATCCGTAGTGAGGACGTTAGGTGTGCCTGATGAATATCCTTCTGCTTATGAATCTAGGATTTGTCAGCTTGATAATCGTGCACTAGAGATTATGTCATGTATTTAACGGCTGTTTTAGTAGCAAAGATGTTCGGCGGTTGACGCATGAAATGGTATTAGCATCGTTTTGCTAGATTGCCATGTTTAAATGTTCCAGTGCATGCTTGCGGCATGTATAGTGATTTCGAAAGATGTCCTTTCTTTGAACTTCACCGGTATGCTTAAGCCGTCGAAGAGATGGGCATGAGCAGTGCGATGTTCTCAGGTCACGTGGTCCAGGCATCAAATCTGCCAGTTATGAATTAAGTTCAGTGACTGACCCAGTTTGATAAGTGGTCTACCATCTCCAGTCCGTGCTTATGGGTTTGTTCACAGAATGGTAACGGTTAGTTGAAGTAAAGTCGTGTGTCACCAGGCAACAGACAAACTGTTTGAGTGGATGGTGTTACATATGGGGCGGACAGCATGTTTACCATTCTCTGGACCACCTGGTGGACGTTAAGTCAAACCCATTCTTTCATTACACAGGATCCCTGTTCTGAGTGTCTGCCAGGAAGCAGATGTATATACACACGGAGTGGTGAAAAGACGTGTGTTCAATACGGTGAGGGCTTAGTATGAATTTTCCTCAACATACTGTTAGTGTAAATATGTCCAGTTTCAATATTTCACTGTGGGTATAAGTCTGGATATTTCGAGCAAAATATATATAAGTAATGACATGAACTGTTCAATTCTTCACATATCTAATTACATAGTATTGGAAAATACTGAAAAATTGCCTGTGTGTGTGTGTGTGTGTGTGTTTCTGTCCGATATGTATCTTCTACTGACGATTAATGTTACAATGGTTAAATAACTCTTCTCTGGCATTTATTACAATGTTCATACTTTCCCTCTAGACCTTGAAGAACAAATACAGAGGAAAGTTAGAATGCCGACGCAAGCACGGGTCAGTACGCCATTACTCAGCATGACAAAAGAAGGTAATACACTATAGTTTTTCAAACATAGGTGAATATGCGAAAGTAACGTCCGTGATCTTACACGAAGGTTCCTGCCATATGGCTGGAATATTGCTGAGTGCGGCGTTGGACAACAAACAAACATGGGGGATCCACCATACGTAAAGTGATTGGGATGCAGATGCCCTTCTGAGAAATAATTTGGGAAAAATGCATGATAATTAGTGCCTTTCAATATCTTGCTTGGGCACTCGTGTAGGGCAGAACAACCTCCTCGTGGTGATTGCTAGGTAAAACTAATGGCTCTCCTCCCGTGAGGACCCGGGGCAGAATAGGTTATTAGTACCCCGTTGCTACCAAATTGAGCAATCTGTTTGCCGTAGGTTGCGCTTCTGGTGGTTGAGAGCAATGGAAACTGGGACCCTCTTCGTTTTGCCCAACACACCACTTCGACCCCAACTTCAGCAGACGGAAGGTAGAATGGCCCGGGTCCTAACAGTCGGCTGACCACGCAAAGCCCAGTGCATGGGGAATATTACAGCACATATTTAATTTAATATTTCATCCTGGTCGTTTCAAAGTCAAATTATTGCCAGAAGGCTTTGGCTCATGAACCTATCTGGTGACCTTGAAATAATGCATGTCTCCAGTTTCGCTTCTGGCATTGAACTTGTAGACACACACAGCTGTTTGTGTCATATAGTCTGGAGCATAACACCTCTGTAGCCCTGGTGTTTGCATCCTGGATATCACGTGCAAATTGGCACTGTACTTGTTGACACTCCATGGTTGGTGGGGAGCAGGGTTGCTGAACATCACTCAACTGAACTGAACTCGAACAAAACCCCAAAAACGTTGACTCATGGGCTTGGTTCCTGGTGATAGAAGCTACCCATCAGACTCAATACTTTTGCTATTTCTAATTCTAGTCGCGGGATCTGTGGAGAGGTGAAACATGTTACTCGTCTCCATACTGCTTCATTTATGGTGGAATGTTCACGTTGATAACAATCTCTCAATTTGTTATCAATCAAGAGGCTGTTGTCTCTAGTAGTAGTTAGATGCTTTTGAGGTCGCCTTCGCCAGCTGGCATTTCGGCAGACTTACCCCGCATCGGGATGCGTGGGGTGTCCCTCTTTGGGACGCGTGGGGCTGGGCCAAAGTGTCCCTTTTTGGGACGCGTGACGGACGACGGATTGAACCTCCCTTGGGTTACATGTTCTCTCCTTCTTTCCCCCTGGGAAGTGGACACGGATACTCTCCTTCCTTCACCATGGGGAGCGGACACGGCCATTCCCTTCTGCTTCCCCCTGGGGAGTGAACACGGCTACTCCCTTTCCTTCACCATGGGGAGCGAAAACGGCTACTCTTCTTTCCTTCACGATTGGGAGTGGACACGGCAACTCCCCTCCTTCACCATGGGGAGTGAGCACGGCTACTCTCCTTCCTTCACCACGGGGAGTGGACATGGCTACTTCCCTTCCTTCACCATGGGGAGTGGACACGGCTACTCTCTCTCCTTCACCATGGGGAGTGGACACGGCCGCTCCTTCCTGCTTCCCCCTGGGGAGCGGACACGGCTACTCCGCTCCTTCACAATGGGGAGCGAACACGGCTACTCTCATTCCTTCACCATGGGGAGTGGACACGGCCGCTCCCTTCTGCTTCCCCCTGGGGAGTGGACACGACTACTCCCCTTCCTTCACCATGGGGAGCGGACACGGCTACTCTCCTTCCTTCACCATGGGGAGCGGACACGGCTACTCTCATTCCTTCACCATGGGGAGTGGACACGGCTACTCTCATTCCTTCACCATGGGGAGTGGACACGGCTACTCTCCTTCCTTCACCATGGGGAGTGGACACGGCCGCTCGATTCTGCTTCCCCATGGGGAGTGGACACGGCTACTCCGCTTCCTTCACCTTGGGGAGCGGACACGGCTAATCTTCTTCTTTCACCATTGGGAGTAGACACGGCTACTCTCCTTTCTTCACCATGGGGAGTGGACACGGATACTCTCCATCCTACACCATTGGGAGTGGACACGGCCGCTCCCTTATGCTTCTCCCTGAGGAGTAGACACGGCCGCTCCCCTTCCTTCACCATGGGGAGCGGACATGGCTAATCTCCTTCCTTCCCCCTGGGGAGTGGACATTGCTACTCTCCTTCATTCACCCTGGAGAGTGGACACGACTACTCTCCTTCCTTCACCATGGGAAGTGGACACGGCTGCTCCCTTCTGCTTCCCCCTGGGGAGAGGACACGGCTACTCCCCTTCCTTCACTATGGGGAGCGGACAAGGCTACTCCCCTTCCTTCACCATAGGGGGGTGGAGACGGCCGCTCCCTTCTGCTTCCCCCTGGGGATTGGACACGGCTACTCCCCTTCCTTCACTATGGGGAGTGGACAAGGCTACTCCCCTTCCTTCACCATGGGGAGCGGACACGGCTACTCTCCTTCCTTCACCATGGGGAGCGGACACGGCTTCTCTCCTTCCTTCACCATGGGGAGCGGACACGGCTGCTCCCTTCTGCTTCCCCCAGGGGAGAGGACACGGCTACTCCCTTTCCTTCACTATGGGGAGCGGACACGGATACTCCCCTTCCTTCACCATTATGGGGTGGAGACGGCCGATCCCTTCTGCTTCCCCCTGGGGAGTGGACACGGCTACTCCCCTTCCTTCACCATGGGGAGCGGACACGGCTAGTCTCCTTCCTTCACCATGGGGAGAGGACATGGCTACTCTCCTTCCTTTACCATCGGGAGAGGACACCGCTAAGCTCCTTCCTTCACCCTGGGGAGTGGACATGGCTACTCTCCTTCCTTCACCACGTGGAGTGGACACGGCTACTCCCCTTCCTTGACCATGGGGAGTGGACATGGCTACTCTCCTTCCTTTACCATGGGGAGCGGACACCGCTAGTCTCCTTCCTTGACCATGGGGAGTGGACATGGCTACTCTCCTTCCTTCACCATGGGGAGCGGACACCGCTAGTCTCCTTCCTTGACCATGTGGAGTGGACATGGCTACTCTCCTTCCTTTACCATCGGTAGAGGACACCGCTAAGCTCCTTTCTTCACCATGGGGATTGGACATGGCTACTCCCCTTCCTTCACAATGGGGAGCGGACACGGCTACTCCCCTTCCTTTACCATCGGGAGAGGACACCGCTAAGCTCCTTCCTTCACCATGGGGAGTGGACATGGGTACTCTCCTTCCTTTACCATCGGGAGAGGACACCGCTAAGCTCCTTCCTTTACTATGGGGAGTGGACACGGCTTCTCTCCTTCCTCCCACCTGGGGAGTGGACACGGCTACTCTCCTTCCTTCCCCTCGGGAGTGGACACGGCTACTCCCCTTCCTTCACCATGGGGAGTGGACACGGCTACTCTCTTTCCTTCCCCCTGGGGAGTGGACACTGCTACTCCAATTCTTTCACAATGGGGAGTGGACCCGGCTAGTCTCCTTCTTTCACCATGGGGAGAGGACACGGCTTCTCTCCTTCCTTCCCCCTGGGGAGTGGACACGGCTACTCCCCTTCCTTCACCATGGGGAGCGGACACGGCTACTCTCCTTCCTCCACCATGGGGAGTGGACACGGCTACTCCCCTTCCTTCACCATGGGGAGCGGACACTGCTACTCTTCCTCCTTTACCATGGGGAGCGGACATGGCTACTCTCCTTCCTTTACCATCGGGAGAGGACACCGCTAAGTTCCTCCCTTCACCATGGGGAGTGGACATGGCTACTCTCCTTCCTTCACCACGGGGAGTGGACACGGATACTCCCCTTCCTTCACATTGGGGAGCGGACACGGCTACTCCCCTTCCTTGACCATGGGGAGTGGCCAGGGCTACTCTCCTTCCATCACCATGTGGAGTAGACACGGCTACTCCCCTTACTTTACCATCGGGAGAGGACACCGCTAAGCTCCTTCCTCCACCATGAGGAGTGGACATGGCTACTCTCCTTCCTTCACCATGGGGAGCGGACATGGCTAGTCTCCTTCCTTGACCATGGGGAGTGGACATGGCTGCTCTCCTTCCTTTACCATCGGGAGAGGACACCGCTAAGCTCCTTTCTTCACCATGGGAAGTGGACATGGGTACTCTCCTTCCTTTACCATCGGGAGAGGACACCGCTAAGCTCCTTCCTTTACTGTGGGGAGTGGACACGGCTTCTCTCCTTCCTCCCACCTGGGGATTGGACACGGCTACTCTCCTTCCTTCCCCCTGGGGAGCGGACACTGCTACTCCAATTCTTTCACAATGGGGAGTGGACACGGCTAGTCTCCTTCCTTCACCATGGGGAGAGGACACGGCTTCTCTTCTTCCTTCACCATGGGGATTAGACACGGCTACTCCCCTTCCTTCCCCTCGGGAGTGGACACGGCTACTCCCCTTCCTTCACCATGGGGAGTGGACACGGCTACTCTCCTTCCTTCCCCCTGGGGAGTGGACACTGCTACTCTCCTTCCTTCACCATGGGGAGTGGACGTGGCTACTCTCCCTCCTTTACCATCGGGAGAGGACACCGCTAAGCTCCTTCCTTCACCATGGGGAGTGGACATGGCTACTCTCCTTCCTTCACCACGGGGAGTGGACACGGCTACTCCCCTTCCTTCACAATGGGGAGCGGACACGGCTACTCCTCTTCCTTGACCATGGGGACTGGACAAGGCTACTCTCCTTCCTTCACCATGTGGAGTAGACACGGCTACTCCCCTTCCTTTACCATCGGGAGAGGACACCGCTAAGCTCCTTCCTTCACCATGGGAGTGGACATGGCTACTCTCCTTCCTTCACCATGGGGAGCGGACACGGCTAGTCTCCTTCCTTGACCATGGGAAGTGGACATGGCTACTCTCCTTCCTTTACCATCGGCAGAGGACACCGCTAAGCTCCTTCCTTCACCATGGGGAGTGGACATGGGTACTCTGCTTCCTTTACCATCGGGAGAGGACACCGCTAAGCTCCTTCCTTCACCATGGGGAGTGGACACGGCTTCTCTCCTTCCTTCCCCTGGGGATTGGATACGGCTACTCCCCTTCCTTCTCCATGGGGGAGTGGACACGGCTACTCTCCTTCCTTCCCCTGGGGATTGGACACGGCTACTCCAATTCTTTCACAATGGGGAGTGGACACGGGTAGTCTTCTTCCTTCACCATGGGGAGCAGACACTGCTACTCCCCTTCCTTCACCATGGGGAGAGGACACGGCTTCTCTCCTTCCTTCCCCCTGGGGATTGGACACGGCTACTCCCCTTCCGTCACCATGGGGAGTGGACACGGCTACTCTCCTTCCTTCCCCCTGGGGAGTGGATACGGCTACTCCAATTCTTTCACAATGGGGAGTGGACACGGCTAGTCTTCTTCCTTCACGATGGGGAGCAGACATGGCTACTCCCCTTCCTTGACCATGGGGAGAGGACGCGGCTTCTCTCCTTCCTTCCCCCTGGGGAGTGGACATGGCTACTCCCCTTCCTTCACCGTGAGGAGTGGACAAGGCTACTCTCCTTCCTTCCCCCTGGGGAGTGGACACGGCTACTCTCCTTCCTTCACCATGGGGAGTGGACACGGCTACTCCCCTTCCTTCACAATGGGGAGCGGACACGGCTACTCCTCTTCCTTGACCATGGGGACTGGACAAGGCTACTCTCCTTCCTTCACCATGTGGAGTAGACACGGCTACTCCCCTTCCTTTACCATCGGGAGAGGACACCGCTAAGCTCCTTCCTTCACCGTGGGGAGTGGACATGGCTACTCTCCTTCCTTCACCATGGGGAGCGGACACGGCTAGTCTCCTTCCTTGACCATGGGAAGTGGACATGGCTACTCTCCTTCCCTTACCATCGGGAGAGGACACCGCTAAGCTCCTTCCTTCACCATGGGGAGTGGACATGGGTACTCTGCTTCCTTTACCATCGGGAGAGGACACCGCTAAGCTCCTTCCTTCACCATGGGGAGTGGACACGGCTTCTCTCCTTCCTTCCCCCTGGGGATTGGACACGGCTACTCCCCTTCCTTCTCCATGGGGAGTGGACACGGCTACTCTCCTTCCTTCCCCCTGGGGATTGGACACGGCTACTCCAATTCTTTCACAATGGGGAGTGGACGCGGCTAGTCTTCTTCCTTCACCATGGGGAGCAGACACTGCTACTCCCCTTCCTTCACCATGGGGAGAGGACACGGCTTCTCTCCTTCCTTCCCCCTGGGGATTGGACACGGCTACTCCCCTTCCGTCACCATGGGGAGTGGACACGGCTACTCTCCTTCCTTCCCCCTTGGGAGTGGACACGGCTACTCCAATTCTTTCACAATGGGGAGTGGACACGGCTAGTCTTCTTCCTTCACGATGGGGAGCAGACATGGCTACTCCCCTTCCTTGACCATAGGGAGAGGACGCGGCTTCTCTCCTTCCTTCCCCCTGGGGAGTGGACACGGCTACTCCCCTTCCTTCACCACGAGGAGTGGACAAGTCTACTCTCCTTCCTTCCCCCTGGGGAGTGGACACGGCTACTCTCCTTCCTTTACCATGGGGAGAGGACACGGCTACTCTTCTTCCTTCACCATGGGGAGCCGAAATGGCTACTCTCCTTCCTTCCCCCTGGGGAGTGGACACGGCTACTCTCCTTCATTCACCATGGGGAGTGGACACGGCTACTCCAATTCTTTCACAATGGGGAGTGGACACGGCTAGTCTTCTTCCTTCACCATGGGGAGCAGACATGGCTAATCCCCTTCCTTCACCATGGGGAGAGGACGCGGCTTCTCTCCTTCCTCCCCCCTGGGGAGTGGACACGGCTACTCCCCTTCCTTCACCATGAGGAGTGGACAAGGCTACTCTCCTTCCTTCCCCCTGGGGATTGGACAAGGCTACTCTCCTTCCTTTACCATGGGGAGCGGACACGGCTAGTCTCCTTCCTTCACCATGGGGAGCCGACACGGCTACTTCCCTTTCTTTACCATCGGGAGAGGACACCGCTAAGCTCCTTCCTTCACCATGGGGAGTGGATATGGCTACTCTCCTTCCTTCACCATGGGAGTGGAAACGGCTACTCCCCTTCCTTCACACAATGGGAGCGGACACGGCTACTCCCTTCCTTGACCATGGGGAGTGGACAGGGCTACTCTCCTTCCATCACCATGTGGAGTAGACACGGCTACTTCCCTTCCTTTACCATCGGGAGAGGACACAGCTAAGCTCCTTCCTTCACCATGGGGAGTGGACACGGCTACTCTCCTTCCTTTACCATGGGGAGTGGACACGGCTACTCTTCTTCCTTCACCATGGGGAGCCGAAATGGCTACTCTCCTTCCTTCCCCCTGGGGAGTGGACACGGCTACTCTCCTTCATTCACCATGGGGAGTGGACACGGCTACTCCAATTCTTTCACAATGGGGAGCGGACACGGCTAGTCTCCTTCCTTCACCATGGGGAGCCGACACGGCTACTTCCCTTTCTTTACCATCGGGAGAGAACACAGCTAAGCTCCTTCCTTCACCATGGGGAGTGGACATGGCTACTCTCCTTCCTTCACCATGGGGAGCGGACACGGCTTCTCTCCTTCCTTCACCATGGGGAGAGGACATGGCTACTCCCCTTCCTTTACCATCGGGAGAGGACACCTCTAAGCTCCTTCCTTCACCATGTGGAGTAGACATGGCTACTCTCCTTCCTTTACCATCGGGAGAGGACACCGCTAAGCTCCTTCCTTCCCCTGGGAGCGGACACGGCTACTCTCCTTCCTTTACCATGGGGAGTGGGACACGGCTACTCTTTTCCTTCACCATGGGGGAGCCGAAATGGCTACTCTCCTTCCTTCCCCTGGGAGTGGACACGGCTACTCTCCTTCATTCACCATGGGGAGTGGACACGGCTACTCCAATTCTTTCACAATGGGGAGTGGACACGGCTAGTCTTTTTTCCTCACGATGGGGAGCAGACATGACTAATCCCTTCCTTCACCATGGGGAGGACGCGGCTTCTCTCCTTCCTCCCCTGGGGGAGTGGACACGGCTACTCCCCCTTCCTTCACCATGAGGAGTGGACAAGGCTACTCTCCTTCCTTCCCCTGGGGAGTGGACAAGGCTACTCTCCTTCCTTTACCATGGGGAGCGGACACGGCTAGTCTCCTTCCTTCACCATGGGGAGCCGACACGGCTACTTCCCTTTTCTTTACCATCGGGAGAGGACACCGCTAAGCTCCTTCCCTTCACCATGGGGAGTGGATATGGCTACTCTCCTTCCTTCACCATGGGGAGTGGAAACGGCTACTCCCCTTCCTTCACAATGGGGAGCGGACACGGCTACTCCCCTTCCTTGACCATGGGGAGTGGACAGGGCTACTCTCCTTCCATCACCATGTGGAGTAGACACGGCTACTTCCCTTCCTTTACCATCGGGAGAGGACACAGCTAAGCTCCTTCCTTCACCATGGGGAGTGGACATGGCTACTCTCCTTCCTTCACCATGGGGAGCGGACACGGCTTCTCTCCTTCCTTCACCATGGGGAGAGGACATGGCTACTCCCCTTCCTTTACCATCGGGAGAGGACACCTCTAAGCTCCTTCCTTCACCATGTGGAGTAGACATGGCTACTCTCCTTCCTTTACCATCGGGAGAGGACACGGCTAGTCTCCTTCCTTCCCCTGGGGAGCGGACACGGCTACTCCCCTTCCTTGACCATGGGGAGTGGACACGGCTACTCTCCTTCCTTCCCCCTGGGGAGTAGACACGGCTACTCCCCTTCCTTTACCATCGGGAGAGGACACCGCTAAGCTCCTTCCTTCACCATGGGGAGTGGACATGGCTAGTCTCCTTCCTTGACCACGGGATGTGGACATGGCTACTCTCCTTCCTTTACCATCGGGAGAGGACACCGCTAAGCTCCTTCCTTCACCATAGGGAGTGGACATGGGTACTCTGCTTCCTTTACCATCGGGAGAGGACACCGCTAAGCTCCTTCCTTCACCATGGGGAGTGGACACGGCTTCTCTCCTTCCTTCCCCCTGGGGATTGGGCACGGCTAC